GTTAATATTTGCAACCACCAACAATAAATGAAGAATGAGAGGTAAATAAATATCAACCAACCATTATATATATATATTCAATGTTAAACACCCATTAGCATAACATTTAGGGTCCACAACCTTAGTATTTAAAGTTAGCTACTCATACTACAATACAAAAATCAAAGAGTATTTAATGTCATAAAAGCTTACAAAGTAGAGAATCTTCACCCAAAAGCTTCCAAAAGTGAGGAATATTAATGTCTTGGAATGTGGTTCAAAGACTAGACAATATAAGCCCACAAAGACATCATAAAACTATTTATAGTGGACTCAAAATCAGGACAGAAAACGGACAAAAATGCCCTTTCAAGTCTGATATGCGATCGCATTCTTGTCGCAGAGCACGTATGCGGTCCGCATCTTGAACATCCTCATCGCATACTGGAACCCTAGTTTACAGGTCTTCTTCGCATTCCAATTATGCGGATCGCATTGCAGAAATGCGATCGCATTTTGCATCGCATCTTCGTCCTTCAGTGACCTTCATGGTTGGTTTGCGGTTCACTCTGCGGCTCGCATGTTGGTTCTGCGGTCGCATAATGGACCACATTCTTGACTTGAGATTTAACCCAGATCTCTGCTTTTGTCCGCGATTTGACGTGCATTCTGCGGCTCGCATGTCTTATCTGCGATCGCATAGTGTATCGCAGACCAGCATTTTTGCTACATTTTGCTCTTTTCTTGTCTTTTTACTTCCATTTCCATGTTCTTGGGTTCTCAGTCCTTATGTACTGTAGAAAAAACAAAACTACATAAGTAACGGAGATAATTGCATTAAAACAAGCTAAAATCTAAGCAATTAGTATTGAAATGTGCCGAAATTCTCCGGCACATCAACACCCCCAACTTAAACTCTTGCTTGTCCTCAAGCAACTAAAACAAACTAAGCCTATTCTAGACTTTATTTACAAAATATGAAACGATAATGACTACGGGTGGTGTTCATTGCTAGTACTTCAAGCAAGCATTTATAATTGTTTTACCCTTCCTGAACTGATAGTATATACAAGGAAAACTAATCAACTTGTGAACCTTGAGCCTCAGACATTGCGACAAAATGTTACCCTCAACTGAGTGCAATTGCATTTGACTCAAAAGCTCAACTTTTGTTTAACTCCACAGTTCATGTACCCTCACTAGAAAGAATGTCCCAAAATTACAATATTTACAAGGATAACAAAAAAGGGACAGTTTACAAATACACTCACTCTCAGAAAGAACTTCAAGTGTTACAACATTTCATACCATAAGCTTACCCTTATTTTAATTCACCGCTTATTCAAGAATGTTCAATTGGAGGTCTCATAAGGACTTTTTAAGCTTGTAATGTAGGTTTCGGGAAGGGTTGGATAGACATTTGGGTACAAGTGACTTCACCCTCCTTGAACACTACTCACAATTTTCCATTTTCTTTTTTACTTTGCTTCTTTTCAAACCCTCATAGCCTCATTTGCGTCTAGTTTCCAATATAGAACCACCTTACATACCTCTTCTAATTTTGTTCAAGGCTCCATACTTTATATACATACACATATTTTCTCCTTTTTTTTTGTACACAAATCTTTCTCTTGTTTTTTTCTCTTTTGGAGCTTGAATAATCTAAAACAAACACTTTTGAGGCATGTGGTCCTAACTCAACGTACAACCTTACCAATCTCCACTGCTACACCACCCCCAACTTATGCTTTTAGCCTCGTTCTCAATGTTCAAGGAGGGATTCAAGAGAGGGGATTATTTTACAAAAAAAGGGAGAGGTTTGTAATGAGTTGGCCAAAGAAAAGGCTTAAAGGCTCAAATTGGGTACTAGTGATATTATTTATGTACAGGTCGGTTTGAAAGGCTACAGAGGTCTAGAAAATAAGACAAAGAATGCCTAAGATCATCCCTCCAACCAAACATACTATCATTAGCATTGAAAGACCAACCGAGCAAGTTCTAGATGATAGAAGTAAACACGAGAGTTATATACACACAGAGAACTCACACACACATGGCACACGAGCTATTTCATTCACATAATTTGACGCTTTCGAGTCAACACTTGGCAACTCAAGGCTTTCATCATAGACACATGTATAACTCTAGGTCGCCATAGAGTCACAGAGCGAGCCTCAAGTTCACAAAGTTGATCACAAAGACTAATTCCCTTAAGAAAGTTGTCAATCTATCCATCATCGGGAAAAGTCGACAAAAACAATATTTTTTTTTATATGTGGAAGGGTATATGCTATGTACAGACACACATGTTTGATACTAGACAATTACACCAAACCGATCAAAATGATTCATTCTACGATCCTAGTTCTACTATTACACCCTTGGAAAAGAACCGGGAGAAGAAAAACCAAGAGGAATTGATTCCTAATCACTATCTACTTGTTTTTGTTGTTTTTCTTTTATATGGACAATGGTATCATATTTAACCGGGAGAAGAAAACCCAAGAGGAATTGATTCCTAATCACTATCTACTTGTTTTTGTTGTTTTTCTTTTATATGGACAACGGTATCATATATACACAATGCTATTATGAACACAAAACAAACACTAATATTAACATCATCACGAATTTCATAACACAACTCATGTACCGAAGTCATACTAATATATACAGAACACAAAATACACATAAGTACAAGAGTCTGATTGTAACATAAAGATATGCATATGTACAACAGTTTCCAATATCAAAAAAATATATACAATGCTACCCTCCACCCCCAACTAAAAGCATGCATTGTCCCCAATGCATAAAAATAGAGAGATGAGTTTGAGGGGGGCTCCCTGAGGCACACTAAGTGCTATAGGAGTCAGTAGCTGGCTGAGTACTAGAGGGGTCACCCTCGGATGTGGAAGCTGGAACCGATGAGAGCTCGGTCTAAGGAGTGACCTCTCCTGATGGAGTAATGCTCTCAGGCTGGTCCAAAGCATGATTTGGAGCTGGAGCTGGAGCTGGTGCTGGAGCCTGTGAGCTGCTACTCTCGCCCACTGATGGCTGGGTGACTGATGGATCTATAAGGCTGGCCATGTCTACTAGAGACCGCTGGATCGCTATCTACATATCTACTTGTTCCACTTCTGCAATAGTAGCCTCCTCAATAATAGCATCCTCGATAGAGGCATCCGCAATCTGCTTTCCTTTATCTTGAGGGCCATCATCGCTTGAATATACAGAACTTTCCTCATCCTTGCTCCCATCTTCCTCCTCATCTTCTAATTTACCAGAACCTCCGGACTCCTCCCCAGAATGGATCACAATATGGGCTGGAGGGGCTTTAGGCTGGGAAGCACCGGCAGTAGGAGGGGCAGTATTAGTCATCAATGCAGTAAAGTCAAGACCTAAGTCCGGAGGTGCTGTGCCTATCACCTGATCACCATTTGTGGGAAGGAGGGATGATAGATCGAACTCCATGGTTTGCATCTTTTGGAGCTCGATCTTCATAGAAGCAACCTCCTTCTTGAATCCAGGTAACCCACTAACTTCACCCCGCTCTATCTTCTCCACCCTCAACTCAAGTTGCTGTAGACGATCCTCATATTTTGACTGTTGCTGTTGGAGGGCCGTCACTGAGGATTGCATGGGCGTCAGGGCTTGTTTGATTAGATTTGGCAATGTCTTCAAAAGCTGATCTACTTTGGCATTGGCATGCTGAGCCAATAGACCAAGCTTCGAGACAGCAGGAATGGTGATGGCAGGCTGGAAAGTGGTGGACTGAGAAGCAGGCTCGGAAGTGGAAGTGGGGGCCGCTGTAACCTGAGGAGTCACTGGTGTCTGGGAGTCACTGGTGTCTGGGAGTCACTGTCCTCTAGATCAATCGGATCTTGGACCTGAACCTGTGATGGGGTAGCAGCAACAGTGATACGAGAGATATCCATGATACGTGTGATATTAATATCCCTCGTTTCCTTTCCAGTTTTATCAGTTGGCAGGATGGGAACTTTCACAACTTTACACAAAGCTATGATCAAGCAAGGAAAAGGAAGTGAAGTTGCATGCTGCATTGCTCAAATCCCTATTTCTTGGAAGATCAACGCTCCCACATCTATCTTGATACCAGTCATGATGAAAGCAATCAGAAGGGCCTTCTCGATGGCTATTTCAGTTTCATTTTGAGTTCGTACCAACCGAGAAGTGACAAAACTAAGCTAGTAGCGACCCTCTCTCATGAGATCTTCCTTATATATATTGTGCTGAGGATCGACCCAAGCGGGAGTCCCTTTTGCTATCACTGAGGCAATCCATCCACATTCATTCTCCTTATTTTTGAATTTTTCAATGTACTCAGTTGTGCCTGCTCTCCATCCTTTGACGTAGAACTCATTAAGGGCCTCAATGTTGCAGAAAACAATCTTTCCCCGGACAAGCACTTGGTCGGTGAAAACTTTGTTGCGTTTGTGGTATTTCATCCTGGAGGACCCATAGGATGCATAGAATTCCCTCACAAGGGTCTCATTGTACTCTGTGGGTGGCTCAGTGAATTCTCTCATCTCCGTGTTTTTATGTTTTCCAGGATATGGGGGTATTTGTCTTTGAGCCCGTTCAAGCTCAATTGTTTATTGCCCAGGATTTTGCGCTTTGTAAGCCCTTTTCTAAATACCTCCCTGGACCCATCAACCCTAAATCGGAGCTGGAAATCTTCACCTCATTTCCTTCTCTCTTCAGCCTCTATATTGATTGAGGGCTTGAGCTCCTCCGCCTCAGACTGGGAGAGGCTCAGCATGTTGTCCTCTATCCACAATCACTTACTGGTGGAAGCCCGCTTTGATGAGCGTCTCTTTTGACCCATATCGGCACAATAGTGAAGAGTGAGTGACATCATTAACAATACGGAGAAGATATAGACGAATCAAAAGCAAGAAAGAAAATGCAATCTGGTCTGCGATCGCAAAACCATAATGCGGACCGCAGACTTGTCGCAGATCTTGTAGTCTCAACTGGTGGTATCATTCTGCGATGAGTTATGCGGTCGCATAACCACTATGTGGACCGCATAACCATCGCACAATTGACATGGCTATATGGTTCAAAGTTGAAATCTCTGCATCACTCTGCGGTGAATTTGCGGTCCGCATGTCAAATCTGCGATCACAAAGACACCGCATTTCATCATCTTCTTCAGAAGATTTAGGGTTTAGTTGTGCGGCCAAAATGCCAACCGCATTTTCACAATGCGGGTTGCAAATGCCTTCTTCTACACAGGTCACCCAAGCTTTCAACAATGGCGGTCCTATTTCATTCTACCCCGTACCCCAAATTATTTTCAACCCAAAAGCATCTACATTACATAGAAGCAACTACACAAACATCTAAACACATTTTTGCATAGGATTTAAACAAAAAATCTCTGAACCTACAGTGGAAATCAAAGATAAAACGAGGGAGAAATGGGTACAGACCAGCAGAGTTTGATGATTGGGACAATGAGTGTGACAAATGGAGTCCTTTGGTTGCACACAATTTGAGCTTGATTTGGTTCGAAGTCCGTTCGTGTTCTTCCCCCTTTTTTCATTTTTTTTGTTTTTGTTTTAAGTGAGTGAGAGACGAGAGGGTTATGCGGACTTACCTTGTCGATTCTACGATGGATAGGACACCGCATAACACACAGTACGACCGCATGTGTGTTATGCGATGAGGTTAAGGACCAAGCTGAAGGGAGGCAAATGCGGTGCAAAATGCGGTCGCATAAATTAAATTGGGACCGTATAATGCACCACCTCACCGCATTTTCAACTACAATTTTAACCCAAATCTCTGCTTAAGTTTGCAGTCAGAGTGCGGTCCGCATAGCTAAAATGCGACCGCATTTGTGCAGCAGAATTCACCTAGTGGTTTTTCTTCCACTTTTTATGCATTCGTACCAATTGTTGTGATCTTTTGAACCCCCTACACTCTGACACACACTTTAAATTGCTCAAATAATCTATCCATCAAAAACCAAAAATTCATAGAACAAAAAAGTGTTACCACACATGGGTTGCCTCCCATGAAGCGCTTGATTTAACGTCGCGGCACGACGAAGTTGATGTTCCTTTGGTTTCACTCAATGGT